TAACTCAATAGTCGTGATTCGAGTTCCATATATAAAGACTCAAGCTACATCGTATATTTTTTTACGAGTTAGTCTCGAACATTAATTTATCGAGCTATATTTGCTATGCTTAAGCTTATAAATAAAGCCCACGAATTAACTCATGAGCTTTTCAAAATATTTCAGGTATTGTTTCTAGGGTAATTTAAGATAATATTTTTATTTTGAAACATAAATTAGAAAAATTGAAAATTTATATTACTCATAATATGCATTTTTTTTATGAATTTCTACATAAATTTCATTTTTCTTGTTTATTATTAAAATTTAGTAATATTAATTAATAAATAAATAATATAAGTAGAGCTCATAACTACAACATGACATAGAACAAGACAAAAAGTTTGCGATAAAAAATAGGGTAAATTACAAACACCCCCCTGAGGTATGGTCAATTTACAAAAAAACCTCTCTTGTTTGGATAATTATATCTACTCCTCAACTATGATTTTTTTCTTACACCTCCACCCTTATCCTGTCAAATTCAACATAATCATCTAGATTTTGTGGAATGTGCTCTAGTTTGTACTCGTTTGTGTAAAAATACAGTTTATGTTGCACCACAATCTGATATATACAAGCCAAAAAACACATATAATTATGATCATCTTGCTTCAAAATGTAGAGTTCGAACGGGATAAAACGGGTACAAAAGTGATAACATTCCATATAATCTCGAAGATTTCACTAAATTTAAGGAGTTGAGGGGGTGGTTGTAATTATCCAAACAAGAGAGAGGTTTCGTAATTTGACCATACCTCAGGGGGGTGTGTGTTTTTCCCTAAAAAATAAGCTTATTTTTATTTGATAATAACTTGGAATATTTTGTTACAGAAATATCGTCATCAATGATGCTACATGCATGCTGGTGACATACTCAATCATATATATATATATATATATATATATATATATATATATATATATATATATATATATATATATATATATATATATATATATATATATATATATATATATTAATAAGAGATAATAATTTAATTTAATTTTTGCTGTGATAGATGATGAGTATATAAAACTGTGACCACTGGCACCATGTTACTATCCGACTATTAAATGATATATTTTCGACGTGGACAAAAAAATGGGGTCACCAATATTTTGTCAATTTTGGTAGAGTAAATCATAGATTAATGATTGATGTCTACACAACACTGAGTTGAGTTCAATCTCTTTCCTACACTACTTTTGCAAATGTTCCGACCAGTTTTATATTTGTTTATCGGGTAAATTTCATTTTTTCCCTTGTACTTTGGTTCGATATCACTTTATCTCTTCAACTCTCGATTGTATTGATTTGTCCCTCTGTAAATGAGAAATTGTCTTGTTGGCACGAGATTTCTATTTGTGAAGATTGAAGAAATCAGCCATACGTGGAAATTAAAGATTGGCAAAGATTTATTTTCCATGTTTATTTTGGAATTAATTAGAGTCCTATTCTTGTAATATTTTTATTAGGACTTAGATTTATTTCCATGTATTATATTCTAGTTAGGTATCTTTTGTACTTATCTAGAATAGAAGTAGAAATCGACTAGGATTCTATTACCTAGTTAATCGATTTCTTAGGGCTCAAGTTAGGTTTAGGGTGGTGGATTTCGTGCCTATATAAGACCCTCAACCTCATATGAGTCTCATGGAGCTTTAATAAGAAAAATCCCAGCATAAAGGCTTTGAAGGGTGCAGCCCGTGCTGCAGCCCTGTCTGCACGGCAGGTGTGGCAACAGAACAGGTTTCTTCTACCAGGCCATAAAGAAGATCGGCATTTCGGGAGAAGTGCTTAAAAGATCTCGGGAGAGGTCGATCCGCCGTATGAAGGAAGTTCAACATTGGAGGAAGTCCAAGAGTGCGGAGGAGGAATTGCTTTGATTATCAACAAGTTCGAGTCGTGTGCAAGAACGACGTATCACATAAAGAGGGAGTCTTTAGTGTTTTATTAAGTCCTATTAATGTACACTTAAATCTGAACTAGTTTTGCAAGTCCTCGTGGATGTAGGGTACGTTTGTATCCGAACCATATTAAATTGTTGTGTTCTTTATTCTGCTTTTCGTAGATTTATTACTGTGACAACACAACAATTCTGTTACGTCACCTAATGTCGTAACATGTAGTCTGTCTCAACAGATGAGTGGACTTTGATAGGCGCTCAACAGATGAGTGGACTTTGATAGGCATTCAAATTGAACATGTCTTAATGTGGTCCTCACAGTTTTCAGATATTTGACCTTAACACCGTTTGATCTAAGTCTGAAAATTACAAAAAGGCCATCCCGCCCAGTTTAAATAATTATTAAAAAAAATTATAACTTCTCGGCCTTTCTAGAGTGAGATACCCGATGTTCCTCATTCGTACGAGATACCCCTTTAATCACCCTTCATTTTAGTAGTTTAGATCTGAACTGTTAAAAAAATATGGCTAGAAACATGATAGATTCGGCATATTTACTAATGTATCCTTAAACTGAAAATTGATAATGGAAACCATGAAAAATCCAGTAATATTGAATACTCGATTGTACCCTCGAGTACATTTGATGGAATAATCTTCCTAAATCCTTTTTTCTTAAATAGGAAATATCAATTTATAGAATTGCCCTTTGTAATATAATTCTAAAAGATGACATTATTAAATGGATTAAATATAATTCCTGATTTATTAACCGTTGGATATTTTATATCACAAAATTGATCAATCACCTTATCTCGATTAAAATCGTTTTCAAGTTTGAAAAAAAAAAAAAAAAAAAAAAGAAAAAAGTTTAACACTTAACCCTAATTACAAAGCCGTATTAACCCTAACACCTATTCTAGATTATAGCTGAATTTAAAGTTTCCCAGAAAAAAAATTAAAATTAACATAGAACCCTAATTATATATAAAGCCGTATGAACCCTAACACTTTTTTTTTTTTTTTTTTTTTCTGGATGTGGACTAAAAATATGATTTCAACTTCAAATTAATATGGAATCCTAATTACAAAGCCATATGAATCCTAATTTTGTTTGATTTTGAAAATTTCGTGTGATTTCTAAATTAAGTACACATATAATATGTTGAAATCATGGTTATCGGATCGTAAAAATATCTCGTATCGTTTTGCTCCACGGCTCGTATCGTATCGTTATCGTATCGTATCGTAAGATATTTAACCAACTATTAAAATAGTAAAAAATATATATCTACATTATAAAAATATTATAAATATGTAAAATTTAATAGAACTACTTATTTCAAAACAGGTAATAAATTCAAGTTTCAGCATCATATTATAAAATATGATAAAAATCGTATATGCTCATCAAATAACATCATCTAAAAGAGTGTTTGGCTAGACTTATAAGATGTTAAAACGATCTTATAAGATGTTTAAGAGCTATTCCAGTGTGTTAGGTAATATTTTTCAAAAGATCTTAAAAATCAAAATATTATAGGCTATTAGAGAGCAAATAAGATTTTTTTTTTAAAGTACCTTTACCCCACCTATTTATTTAAGATCTTATAATGAGTAAAATAGCTTGTAAGATCACTGTCCAAACACTTGAAAAAATTAATTTTAAAAGTAAGATGTAACAACTTATCAGCTCTTCAAACAGCTTATCAGATATAAGAGCTTATCAACTGTTTAAAATAAGCTTAGCCAAATTGTCCCTAAGTTCAAATCCGAATACCTAATTCCTAATATATTCGATATCTCATAAATTTGAAGATCAGTGTCACTTAAATCATCCTCATCTACCAATTTTAAACGATTGCATTGATCATCATCAATCACAAAATCCAGCAAAAAAACGCATCGAATTGGTCTTGAATCGCTATAATCTATAGAAATTGAATTAGGGTTGTAATATTGTGAGGATTGGTGAAGAAATTGAAGAGAAAAGTCTGAATTAGGGTTGGTATATTGAAGAAATCTGTTCTAAACCGTTTTTCAGAGCAGTTGACAGCATTTCTTTTTTTTTTCTTCGTTTTTTTCATTTTTTTGATTGTCGACTAATATCGTAAATATCGTACCGTATCGTGATACAACAATACGATACGATATCTCGCGATATTTAACGGTATTTATCAACACTACTAGAAAATCACGATTTAGTGATGGAACTATCCGTCACTAATTCATTTAATCCGTCGCTAAAATATATTTATCGACGGATTTAGGCCGTCGCAAATGCCATCACCAAATCCGGCCTCGCTAAATTTAGAGACAAACAACAAAAATCCGTTGCTAAAATAGCTACGAACATATCTGTCGCTAATGCATAATCAGACGTCGCTAAAACTTGACGAGTGATATTTGAGCAGTGATGGCCATGTTCGTCGCTAATAGAAAATTTTACGTCGCTGGTGTTTGTAGCAAAATCCGTCGCTGCATCCGTCGGAAAATAAATTTTCAAAATTTTGTGTGTGTCGCTAAATCTGTCGCTAAAACAATTTTAATTAAAAAATAATAATTTTAAATTTATAATTCCCTGTTCCAAAACCCAAAACCATTTCAATGCATTATATACTAGAATATTCACCTCCTTACAAAAAATAAGCACCACACTTTCTCCCATAATCCACCAATCAAATCAAGACAACAAACACACGATAAAAATCAAACACTATTCTTTCTACCGTAATCAGCATCCAGTCAACAATAAGATAAAAAACATCGACCTAAAAATCCATAAAATTAACCCAAACACAACTTCCAACTGAGCTAACATATCTAAATATCCACGTAATGATGATTCAAAACACAATCTTCAAGATTGTAAGGCTAAGCGCTACTACTCGTCTTCCAAACGATAAAAAATAGTCGTGATAAAAAAAAATAAAAAAAAATCTACCATATCAGTGCGATGCTACTGTCCATCTCTACTAGCTCCACCAGGTTGTCTTTCACGCATCTCTTGAATGGTTGTTTTCAAGGCTTGCAATTCCTCTTGAAAAGTAGCTTGCATATCGGTTAATTTTTGTTCCACCGCTCGATTAACAACTTCTTCGAATGAAGGAGTTTCAAATAAGCATTGAGAAGGTACAGATGATGCTGATGAAGAACCGGTTGGAGCATGAAATGTAGGACCACCTCCTTGTACAACAGAACTGGACTCCGATCCGAGACCGTAAACTCTTCCTTTTATTGGCCCTCCAACTGCCTCGAGCCACGCTTTATCAATAACTTCTTTAGGAAGAGCAGATGCTATTGCCATGAATGCATCATCTCCATCTTCTTCTTTGTCTTCCTCTTGATTTTCGATTCTTGCGTCTTCATTTCGTTCGCCACCACCCTGTGTCCCAGACATGTCACTTGAATGACGACTCTTGACGATGGTTTGAAATTTAGCCTGAAACATCACAAATTTTAAGAATTAATACATATTGAATAAATATACATTTCTTTATTAAACTATATAATACATTATCAAATAAATAAAACTTGTCGAACAACATGATCAATATTCAGAAGCAATAACTGAAAACACACAAAAAAGTATTAAAAAACAATCATAAGAAATTTCCTCCAGAACTCAATTCTTGCAGCATAACATTTTTATATTATAGTAAAGTAGATGCTTACCCAGACAGATTTTGATTTTCCATCAACCCAATCATTATTCTGTTTCGTTTTGTGAATTATCAAAAATAACTCAGAAGCAGTAGGCTCTACCCCTTTCTCTTTCACCTAAAAATAAAATAAAAAACATATTTAATTGGTGTTGGTAAAATAAAATATAAATAAAATATCAAAATTAACACTTACGAATTTTCTTTTATATTCTGAAACTGGAATTGATCCTCCTGTATGCAACGAGGGACCTAAACCATCATGACTTGAGTTTCTGTTATCATAATTAATTTCTGATTTATCTTTAAACTTTTGGGTGTTCCAATAAGCCAACAACTCATTCCAATGATTGTGATTGATCCACTTCGGTATTATATTTTTCTCATGAAATTGTTTTCTCGCTTTATTCAAACTATTGCTCAAACTTACACTTCCTTTATGTTCAAAATGTCTTCTTATTGTCGTGTGGTCTTCCGCGGGCCAATAGTACAACTTCTGCATGTATTCAATATAAATAACACATAAATAATTTTCAAATCATGACGGACAATGAATGTTATATTATTTTGCTAAATTTACTCTTTTAACTACATAATGTCCCCAAAGTCTTCAATCAATATACACCGAGAGAGACGAGAGACATAATTAATTTAAGAAAATCAATAACATTAAAGGTAGAAGTTTACCTGATTTTGGACCTCGCTTTGAGAAGTACGTTCGCGGGAGGGGAAGTTGAAAGAGAACTCGCCGACGTGGAATGTTTGACGCCCGTCTGAGTTGAGAAACAACAGCAAATTTTTTTCACCTGAAAACTGGTGTTTGCTCGAAATAATGGATTTTTTCTTGTTTCTTTAAATAATTTCATCAAAACGATACACAATACTTTGCAAAATTCAATTATACCGGAGATCCGATCGTCGTATTTCATTATATTTCTACTGAATATACTAATATAAACACTAGAGAATTTGTATTAATGTTCAATAAACAATTGCTCTTGTGAACAGTGCCACAAATTATTGTCAGCATATAATCAATCCCAAAAATTATACACATAATCCAATTAGTTTGTCGTGAAAGATAAGGGTTCCCCTGATATTTATAAATTTTGAGTAATTCTACAGAATCGAAATTCCCGTAAGTTCTTGTGCACAATTTACTCTTTTAACTACATAATATCCCCAAAGTTTTCAATCAATATATACCGAGAGAGATGGGATACATAATTAATTTAAGAAAATCAATAACATTGAAGGTAGAACTTTACCTGGTTTTGGACCTCGCTTTGAGAAGTACGTTCGCGGGAGGGGAAGTTGAAAGAGAACTCGCTGGCGTGGAATGTTTGACGCCCGTCTGAGTCGAGAAGCAGCAGCAAATTCTTTTTCTTCTGAAAATTAGTGTTTGCTCGAGATTAGAAATTGGGGATTTTTTGTCTTCTCAAAACGACGATATAAAAATGAGAGAGAGAGAAAGAATCGAGAGTTCTGGAATAAGGGTTTAAAGAGAGAGAAAGAATCCGAGTTCAAATAAGAAAAGGAGAGAGAATTAATGACTTAATTAGTTTATAATAAGGACTCTTAATTTGTATTATAAGGAATGCTATGAGCCGTATATTATTTCTATTATTAAACAATTTAATAATGACATAAAATTGTTAATTTGCTCCTTATTTTGTAAATTTATAATTTAAGTAATTTTTTTTCCGTAGCTAATTCTGTTGCTATAAATTGATTAACAAACCGCTTTGTTGTTCGTATGTGATCTCCGTACGTGAAGTTTCATATCAAAGGGTCGAGTTTACTATCTGTCGTTACATCTGTCGCTACAATATTTTAATTAGAGACGGATTTAACGGTCGTCGCTAATGCCATCGCTATATATAAACTATAGTCATCAAAGAAACGGATTTATAGTCCGTCACAAATTCCGAAGCTAACTGGTCAATTTTGAAACGGATCTATACTACATCACAAAAGTTCGTCGCTAAATCGTGATTTTCTAGTAGTGCAATAGGCGATACATAACACGAGTTGTATCGTTTTGATTGAAACCATACCGTATCGCAATATATATCGCGGTATATCGCGAGATTAACCACCATGGTTGAAATTAATAAGAAAACCCATATTGATTAGAACTTTTACGTCATTTTTTTCATGTTTTCCACCAATTACGTGTAGATTTACAGAGAACCCTGATAAAACCCTAAGAGCCCTGATAAAAAAATGCTGAAAGTCGCACAAATCACCCAAAAACAAAGATTGTATTTATCGTATCGTATTGGAATATCGTATCTTATCGTGATATTGAGCAATATTTAGCAGTATTTGATTACAATCGATACATATACCGAGTTGTATCGTTTCCATAGAAATTGTATAGTATCGCGGTATACTGCGATATTGACTACACCGATTTTTTACACAAACTATAAAAAGTTCAATTTTATATTATATGAAAATATTACAGTATACCCTAATAATTATGTTCATGAGTGTAACAAACGGATTTGGCACTTGGTAGCTATTATATTCTATTGATTGAAAAAAAGAGGCTATTATATCTATTAACATCACTATAATATAAAGGATGCTAACAAATCAATAGATTATATATTAAATAAGTATTTGGTAAAATTAATTTCCATTGTAATCATACAAAATACTGAAATTAACTAGTGAATGATGGAAATTCGAAAATCGAAAAATAGAAAAACAAATAGTGAAGATTTGGGCCAGGGAATGCCCATTGTGGGCCATTAACAATGTTAATGGGTTGATCACCCAAGCATAACTGGGCCCAGAATTCACAAATTCATTATATGGGTTCACTTTTAAGTTAAAACGACCATTTGAAATTCTAATACTAAAATTCCACCCGTGCGCTGCACGAGAAATGCATATTTCTAATTTATATTCAACACGCTTACTAAAATAGAAATATAAATAAAACCCAATGATTATGTATAGTATATTTATATTCAATGCATTAATATAACTTTTTAAATATCTAAAATGAAGATTAGGATATTTCGGCTTCTGGCATATATATTGTTTTAGAACTGTCAATTGAGTCGGACCGATCTAAAATCTGTTGACTCGTCCAGGTTTTATTTGAGCTGAACCTAAATTACATGTGAGTCGGATCGTGCGTGAGCCATTCTATTAAGCATGAATGTAGGTGTTTGCCCACCTAACTAAAAGTTAAAAATATTTTTTAATTAATAGGTAGGGATACTTTATTTGGTTGGGACAAGAAAAAAAGGTTGGAGGCATGTAAAAAGTTAAGCATCCCATAATTGATGTTTCTTCCTCGGACTACGAAAAGCAAAAAGGACCATCTTGCCCATCACCTATGAATATCATCTTCTCTACATAAAAGAAGTCTTCCTACCATAGATTCATTTGTCCTTGCTTTATTATTGCTCATTTATACAATTGTACCCACAAAAGATACTTTTAAGTTTTAAATTACTAAGTTACGAGTAGGGCTGGACATAGGTTGGATCGGACAATTATTGTTAATTACCTACCTGATCTGACTACTCAATTTTGTTGAATATTGAAAATTATTATCAACCCAACTATTACAAATTGGATAATGGTTGGCAATCGACTTTGTCGGGTACACAATGAGTTAGTTGCTAGTATTATCGCCATTTATTTATTGATTTTTTTTATTACAATAATATGATGTTTTTAAAAGTTTTTTGAGAAGATATTCAAAATGTTGGCAAAACTTATGTTGCAAAAAAATCTTAATTTTAAAATTAAGAGTTTTTGTTATTATACTTCGTAAACATATAATAAAGAATATGAAATAAGAATTATAAAACAGAAATAGTACGTAGAGCGGTAGAGGTTTATAAATTTGTATTTTGTGTTTTTAAGTTTCGACTTATTTTATATATCATTTTAACATTAAGAAAATAAGAATTACAATTATATTTATAACAAATTTTTATTATTAGAACTGTTGGTTGGTTGATATTATTCGACCAACCGACTTTTGATTAAATTGAAATCCATAGTCTATTTATATATGTTTCGGTTAAAAATACCGATCCGACTATGTTGGCCATTTAATTAACTATTATCAGCCAACAATAGTGAATAAAAAATGGGTCGATTGACTGATAAAACCAACCAATGTCCAACTTTAGTTATGAGCATCCACTTGAAAATGTGACACACCATAAAATACACTAGATGATTCGGCACACAGTCTACCCAAGAACACAGTCTACCCAAGAAGTACATATACAAAATAAAATAATAGGCATATCCGGTTTTTCTAATTTTTTTTTTAATTGGAATTGAAGGTAAATAGTAATTTTGATTTTCGATCAGATTACAATCCGAAAGTAATTTGGGCAAATACAGATTTTTTTTCGAAGTACACATGTGAACAATCTTTATCTATATTATGCAAAATTAATTAAATTATTCATTATGTTTTTATTTTGAAGGAACATAAAAGTCTATTACATTTTCCCCATTCACAAAAGGCTTTAGTTTTTTTTTTTTTTTTTTCTTCTTTCTTTACCTGTTTTTTCGCCTTATATCAGGATTTTAAACTGTTGGAATCATAATTACTTTTCACATTCCGAAAATTTTGAAATTGAAATTGGAAGTAGTTTTATACTTTCAATTTTTATTTTTTCTGAAATATTTCCGAAAAGGGCTAACTTCGATTCGTTGCGTTCCAATTTAACCTCTATTGGGGATGACCAATTCTTTTTCTGCACGAGGCTGATCCATGATCCTCTTTGAAAGCGGCAAAATAAACACTTAAAATCAGCCCAAAAATTGATTTTTCAAAAATTATATATTTTATTCTGGATTAAATACAAAAACAAAAAGTTGGAAAACTTTAATTTCAAAATCTATTCCAAATTCGGAAAATTTTATTTCAATTTCCACACCAATTACACTCGGGTGATGAATTGGCATACAAATAACCAATTCGTCAACCGAGTGATGAATTGAAGTTGACAAATCCCATCTCTATATATATTTTAGTGAAGACTAAATAAATTGGCCAATCTAAGTATAATTTGTAGCACATGTGCGGATATTCAGGCGAGCTCATGCTAAAATGCACCGCCGGCCCTTCCACGCAACGGCAATTTATATTATTGTTTTCCAATTCATTTTCTCATAAACATTACTCCATCCCATCTTCTTAGCGTATAGATGAAATGAATGAATTTTGCTTTTACCAAGACAATGAACTGGTTACTCTTTTTGTTGTTTATTTATTTTTTTAATTATTTTTTTATTAGTTTATATGTTTTGTTTTGTTTTGTTTGTGTTTTAAATCTCTTAGTTACTCTTAGGGGTCTTCATACAGTGAATCGTACCGAACCGTACTGGAATTTCGATTTCGAATTTTGTACCGTTTACTGAACTGAATAGTTTGGTTCGGTACGGTTTGGTACCAGTAAAGCCGAAATATATTTTCTTATTTTATAAAGAGTAAATAGAAAACAATTTAAACGAAATTATTCTTAAATTTGACATTCAAATTTCAATAATCGGCTCTATAACCTAAAAAAGATTATCAGTAGAGGCTAACTTGTAAACAATGGAATTTTTCTTTTTTTATCAATATGTAAGTATTTAATAATTTTTTATAACCTTAAAGAATTTAGAATATTAATAAAAAAAAATATATCAAATATTTCAGTATTCGGTACGATACGGTACGATATATACCGAGCATCAGCACCGTATACCATACTGAATACTGGAATTCAAAAAATAAATTTACTGAATACCGAACCGAATTTCGGTTTAATACGGTTTACCGACCGTGTGAACACCCCTAGGGGTGGGTTTGGTAGGGCAACCGTACCAAACCCCTCGAATCACTACCAATACCGAAATTTCGGTATTATGAAATCCATTACCATTGCCCTACCAAAAACTTCGGTATACCGATTTCGGTATACCAAAAGTTCGGTACGGTAGGGTATGGTAATGGTAATTACCAATTTATATTATCTATTATTTAAGTCTAAATTGAATATCATTTTTTTCAAAGCAATTCAAGGTATACATGTTTAAAATGTACAAAACTAATTTTTAAAATATAAGTGTCCTAATATATGTTCTAAATTTACCTAATGTAAAATATTTCTTAAATAAAATTATAACATAAGAACTTTTAACATCAATTATATATAATAAATTGAATTATTAAAATAAAATTTTATTTATTAATAATATTTCGGTACGGTAGGGCATTACCATTTTAATAATCTTAAGTGCCGTTGCCCTACCAAAACATTTCGGTAGGGTACAGTAATAATTCGGTAGAGATTTTTCGGTAGAGAATCGGTACGGTACGGTAGGGCATCGGGTTGATAGGGCAATTTGGTAAAAAAAAACCACCCCTAAACACCCCTGGTTACCCATTCTTTATTTATGGAAATTAAAGTGAAATTAATCCAAATTGTTTGACAAAAAAAGTTAAATCATACAATAATAAAACGCATGATAAAAATTTAGTGGACGAAGTTCAAATAATTGAACTATAAAGAATACTAGGCCCTCAAAACATAGGAATAAAGGCCATTTGAGTTTTGACTTGATCTTCATCCCTCTTAAGGATTTTATTCATAAAATAGTATTGTTTTATCCCACGTTGTGATTTCACTAACATTATGAAAATTCGATACATTTTTTTTTTACTTCAGTCGAGGGAAAGAAAAAAAAAAAAAAAAAAAAAAAAAAAAAAATGAACAACTCGCGCATGCATCATTAAAATAAATAAATAATAAACACTGAAGAAAGGAAGAAGAAAGAAACCATGGCGGATTCTTCTTCTTCTTCTTCTCCTTCTTCATCTTCTTCTTCATCGAAGCTAGTGTATTTTGTAATATTTCCATTGATTTTGTTATCCGGGCTTGTGATTATTCTGAACCAGAAGCCTTCTACCTCTTATAATTCATTTCCATATTTTCATTATCCTGCCGCCGCCGCCACCGCTGCATCCCGGGCTTCCGGGGCGGTGACCGCCGCCCCAGCTAAGCAAGATCACGTACCGGTAAAGCCCCGTTTCACGAAGAATGGATCGAAGCGCGACAAATCCCCGAGTGATTATAATTTAGACAATCTAGATATGGTGGAGGCTAGCCTAGCGAAAGCTCGAGAAACAATGCACCAGGCTCGACTCAACAACGAAACATCTTTCGACCCCGATTACGTACCCGAGGGCTCGATCTATCGGAATGCCAACGCCTTCCACAGGTTTTTAATTTCATTCTTCTATTAATTATATATTAATTAATTAGGACTTTTATTTAATTTTATTTTAATTTGGTTCAATTGTTGTTATGTAGGAGCTACTTGGAAATGGAGAAATTGTTCAAGATATACGTGTACGAGGACGGAGATCCGCCGTTGTTTCATTACAGCAAAAGTAAGGGCATTCTTGGAATCGAAGGTATCCTCATTCATCAAATCGAGATCAGCAAATTCCGGACACGAGATCCCGGAAAGGCCCACGTTTATTTCATTCCGTTGAGCGTGCAGTCGATAGCGACCTACGCTTATGTGATACATAATCGAGCGTGGTCTCCCCTGCAGAATATAGCTAGAGATTATGTCAAACTTATTTCCACAAAGTATCCTCACTGGAATCAGACTCTAGGTCGCGATCATTTCATACTCGGTTGCCATGATTGGGTGAGCTTTCTCGTTTTTCTTGCTTTTATTCGGATATCACTTGTCGAATATTGCGTTGGCCTTCTCTGATTCGCAAGATAAGCCATGATTGATAAATAATTAGTCATTATCTGATTTTTGACTAGTCAAATAACTTTTCGTGTTGGTTTGACTATTTGTATATTGTATTGATTGGATTCTTAGGTGTGGAAATTGAAACGAAAATTCCAAATTTTGCTGATTCTAGTATCAAATTCTGATTTCAAAATTTTCCAATTTTTTTTTTTAAATGGAATGGAAATAGATATTATATTTTGATTTTTTTTTTTTTAATTTCAGAGCTCATTTTTATTTCAGAAATTTTGATATTTTCCTAATATGACACTTATAGTAAGTTTCCAAATTATTTATTTTCTGAAAATGACACCAACAATTGAAAGTTCTGAATTCCTCATATTCCAATTCGAAAGTTTTCTATTGTGAAACAATTTTTTTTTTCCTTCCAATTTCCGAAAATCCGATTTTTTTTTTAACGGAATCAAAATTAATTTTCCACTCCCGTACTTTTTCTTCTAAAAGTGTTAATTCCAATCTGATTCTTCTGATTTTCACCATAATGTAAAACTATGGCTGTGTTTGGTAAGCTTTTGGGCTTCCATTTCCATTTTATTTTGGGGAAAGATATTTTGGGAGAAGAATTTGAAAATTAAATAAAGTTTGTTTGTGTTTTGGGAGGAGACAATTTGTACTGTAGCAAGTTAAATCATGTCTGAAAGGTGTTGGGAAAAGGTATTTTGGAAGAGGAATTTAAAAGATAAAGTGATTTGATTTTGTATTTTAGTGAAGACAATTTTCACTGTAGCTGTCAAATCATATTTGTTAGAGAGAGAAATATTTGAATTTGTTTTGGGGAAAGTTTTTGGAAATAGTGTAGAAAGATAATTTTCATTTTGGGGAAAGTGTGAAAAGAATTTGAAAACGGTAACAAACATAGCCTATACAATTGATTTCTAATAAGACTAGAAAGTTCTCAACTTGATTAACCCAATTACAACAACTAAAGGAAGCCTAATATATGTTCTATAATTTGTTTTAAAAAAACATGCATCAACTAATTGTGCTTATGCTTCTCCATTCACTAGTAGAAAAATGATATTTTACTGCTACCATTAACCGTAGTAAAATGTACCAAATTCACAGTAAAAAGGTTTTGGCTACACATTTGCTATGAATTTGCCCCGTAGCATATATGGGTGTGACAAAAACTTTGTCAATTACGATACATGACCGTAGCAAATATTTTTTGGTTACGGTAAATCCTAGCATTTACTACGATTCCAAGGTTGTCCTATAGTAAAAGGTACTTTGTGTTACTGTTTTTTACCGTAGCCAAAAAAATTCATAGCAAAAAGCTATTTTTCTACCAGTGATTTTTGACTTTAATCTTGTTATTTCACAGACTCCAACAATCTCCCACGGAGTCCCTCTCTTATTCAAGAACTCGATCCGAGTCCTCTGCAACGCCAACACGTCAGAAGGGTTCAAACCCTCGATAGACGTCTCCATGCCGGAGATATACCTCCCCGAAGGAACCATGGACGGATTGATCGGCGGGCCCCCTCCGTCAGATCGATCCATCCTAGTCTTCTACGCAGGTGGGGTCCACGGCCCGATAAGACAGATGCTCATGGACCAATGGAAGGACAATAAAGACCCCGAAGTACAAATCCACGAGTACCTCCCGAAGAACATGTCGTACTACGACGTGTTCCGAAGGAGCAAGTACTGCATATGCCCTAGCGGGTGGGAGGTCGCTAGCCCTAGAATGGTGGAGGCGCTCTACATGGGGTGCGTTCCGGTGCTTCTCAAGGAGAGTTACGCGAAACCTTTCGATGACGTCTTGGATTGGAGCACGTTCGCGGTCGATGTTAGGGTTGATGAGATTCGTGATTTGAAGAAGATTCTGATGGGGATAAGTACGGAGAAGTATGTCGAGATGCAAAGGGAAGGGATTCGAGTTAGGAGGCATTTCGAGGTTAATTTCCCGCCGAAACGGTACGATGTTTTCCATATGGTGCTTCATTCGATTTGGCTTCGAAGAATTAATGTTCAGCTTCATGATGCACATGAAACCTAATGATGTATGAATGTTTTTTTTTTTTTTCTTTTCTTGAAATGCCTAAAGTAGGAAGTAATTATATACTATTGATTGAATTAATTAAAAATGTGTGACCTTCTTATTAAGAGATATTCAATGAGATTATTTGGTTTGTAGTAAGCATTAATTGATTTCTATTTTCTGCTGTTTTTTTTCTACAGTTTAGATCAAGTCATAAGGCATAACTGGTCAGTGTTAGATATATATATTAGAATTTATCAACCTTTTCCACTTCTGTTTTTTGTATTTTCTATATTTATATATATGTATATATATATAATAAATATACTAATTAATACACGTACACATATAATTATATATGTATAAAAAGCAACATTATATTTGCATGCTGTGATCTCCACAGTTCACCAATTCTAAAAGCACATAGACGTGCAGTGAAATCGAAAACAAGGGAAATATACGATAGTGTAGGTCTAGCGAGTACGCTTATATGATTGGTTGTGGGTTACTTAATTATATAAAAACAAAGAAGACGGGAGAAAATAATACTTTTTGTCCTTTGTGTTCGTTTATTTGAAAATTTAGTAGTCTAAATTGTCATAAATATTTTACCTCCGCACACATATGTTACATGATTTTTCGTAATTCGTAAAATAAAAAATATAAAATTACCTAATGTATTGTGATCCGGGCCGGCCACATCAGTATTTAATCGAATGTAAAATCTAGAAGTCCCAAATATAAGACGCATTGTCCTATTTTTTACTTCCAATTCTTCAATCATTTATAACA